ACTCTCGGTAAACCTTGTGTCTTCATGTAATTTGAAAATTTTCGAACTCCAATTAGATAAACATGATAACCAATTATCACCCGTTGGCGTTGGTTTAGTTGGTTTAGTACTGTTTAACGTACTATCAACAGCTATGGTCATTTAAGGGCGGCCTCCCCTGTGTGCAAGATGCATGCGTGTAGTGTATGCGTGTGTGTTTTGGGAGCCTGCTATATGTTCGTGTTTGTCTCCTTGTGATAGCGCGGAACTGATGCCGACTTAATAGTGCTACCTCACTGAAACATACTGCCGAAGACACCCAGCGGGAATCTATCTATCCCAACATAATTGATGATGAGAAAGATTGCATTTATTCTCTTACTTGTTGATGATTTGACAGATATAGGCTTAGTATCTCTACCAGAACATCAATAATTAAGTACACATTTCGATATTGGCCAACGCTGTTTTATGAGGTCACAGTTAATGTTGATGTACGATCGAAAGGAAAACATTGGCCTATTCCTAATTCTTGTATTTGGCATAAATGTTGAAATATTGATTATTAACATGTAAATCGTTCTATAGGCATTTGTTGATTATTGTTTTTGTTTATGTTCGTCACAGGGATACGTCGCAAATGTGATAAATAGATATAAATGGGACGTTAAACGACGCCTCTTGACTTTTAAGGTTACTTAAACTTGATACTTTCAGACCAAGAATATTTCTTAAAACAATAATTCGCTCGTTGTAAAAAAAAATTGAATTGATACACTATTTATTTATCAATAGTTCACCTTTGTTGAGGTACATCCACATGTGCGTTGTTATATGGACATGTGAAAAAGATATTAACCGAGATAAATTATAACCTAATATGGCTTTTCGGGTCTGCATTACCACAGACTTGTATAAATAACAGTGACTAAGGTATATAAGGTTTGATATTATGTGTTTGTTTATCTATTCATATACTTATTTTTCTATAGTACGGAAAGCAAGAAAATCGTCAATAGAAAAGTACTGCATTCGGCAGCAAACATTGCGAGTTAAAATGGAAATGACGTCATAAAGAAAATATCATTAGCCTTCTTTTTCTAAAAACAGATAACATTTCAAGTTGATATACTGATTATTTACTCATGTGATCACGACCAGGCCAATCAAAATTCAGCAAAGGCAGACATTTGTTAATATGCCCACTTTTATGTGTATCACAATGTATTTGTTTATTCAAAATGCAAAGTCATTGCAGTGACACTGAAGATTTTGTATGAAGGTGTCCATATAACGATGAACGGTGATTATGATGCCATAACTCCAGTTGAGCACGTGAACATTTATCATAAATGGCGGTTAAAGAAACTTACACGTTCTCAGAAGTAGTTATCTTCCCATAACCTGACCAAATTAGAAAGCTATTCCAAATGTATACAACCTTTTTCTGTTAATGGTTCATAATTATTTTATTCATTCAGTGGACACAAATTTTACTTCCAGAAAATATCAACGAATACTCGGTTCAATTTACAATCTGAAATTTGTATAAGTAATAATTAACACCACCCACATCTATTGTTGATGACGTCACCAAATTGTGTCTCAATCCCGGAAAATGTGCATAGCTCCGCCCACTTGTCGACGTCATGGAAACTTGTGACGTTCTATCGTCGGGTTACATGTATGAGATAAACCGAGCTTGCGGGAAGAGCTGTTTTATTATTAAGTAAATATCAGGTCAGACTGTTAATATTTTACTATATTTCACGTATGTGTATTCTTTACAGCGAAACCTGTCTAATTAGACCCTTACGTATTCCGTCATTACATTCTTATATCAATGTGATGCGAGAATTCCATTTTAAATAAAGACCTATGTATTCTTACACCCTGCCTAATTTGACAAAAAATTCCTCCCTAAAATGTTTCAGTGTGCCTTATATGCTGTGTTAAACAGCATGTCTAATGAGACAGAGATTACTCTGACATAAAACGCTTTGTTTTAAAGGATGTCAGATAAGACAGGGTTCTTTTCAAGGATATGTTTTCTTCCACAGGGTGTCAGAATAGACAAAATATATGACCCAAATATTTAGTCCCGCATTGCGTCGGATAAGACAAATTAATCCGACAAATATGCTATGTCTTAAAAGGTGTTGGATAAGTCATGCACGTCAATTAACCGATAGATTGACCTACATAGTGTTGGGTTAGTCATGCACGTCAATTAACCGATAGATTGACCTACATAGTGTTGGGTTAGTCATGCACGTCAATTAACCGATAGATTGACCTACATAGTGTTGGATTAGTCATGCACGTCAATTAACCGATAGATTGACCTACATAGTGTCGGATTAGTCACGTACGTCAATTAACCGATAGATTGACCTACATAGTGTTGGATTAGAGAGGTGAATCTCATCAAAAAATAGTGTTAAAATGTCAGATAAGACAATGTAGTCGGACCACTAGTGTGTGTTCCACATGATATCATATTAGACAGATTTATCCGACCAACATGCTGTTTCCCAAAAGGTGTCAGATGGTATTACCCATAGGTTGTGTCCTAAAGAGCGTTTGCTTTTGTTTCGTTTAGTATTGTTTAACGTCCTATCAACAGCTATGGTCATTTAAGGACGGCCTCCCCTGTCTGCAAGATGCATGCGTGTAGTGTTATGCGTGTAAGTGTTGGGAGGCTGCGATATTGAAATAGCGCGGAACTGATGCCGACTTTATAGTGCTACCTCACTGAAACATACTGCCGAAGACACCCAGTAGGACACCCACCCGGTCACATTATACTGATAACGGGCGAACCAGTCGTCCCACTCATAAATTGCTGAGCGTTAAGCAGGACTAGAAACTACCTTTTTACAGACTCTGGTATGTCTCGGCCAAGGGACAGAACCCAAAGCCTTCCTCGCAGGGGGCGAACGCTCAACTAAAGGCCAAACGTGAGGCATTGTCAAGGGAGACAGGTGAATCTGGCTTATATATCAGTTGTTTTCCCATAATGTGTCTGATTAGGGAGTTAACATAACAAATACGTGGTTTTGCACATGGTGTCAGATAAGACAGGGTAACGTGATTGATATGTTGACCTAGAAGATGTCGCATTTCAAATGATAACCTGACAAATGTGTACTTCAGAATGTCGGGTTAGACAGGTTCTTGTGAATTATACATTGTGTTCAATATGGTGTCTGATGAGAGTGGTTAATTTTTTTCTCACGTCTCCTAAAATATGCGGGATAGGGCAATTAATATGACAACCATTTTGTTCAAAAGGTTCCGATAAGACAAGTTCGTCTTACCAATTGCTTTGATTCCTTTAAATGTCGGTGTATACAAGTTTATCCTGGTAAAATGTTGTATCTCATAGGGGGCTAGATTAGACAGGTTATTCGGAACAAAATGTTGTTTCCTTCCATGTGTAGGACTAGGCAGATAAATGTAACCCTCTGACAGGTTGTCAGCTTGGACAGTTGATTCTACCAATATTGGGAAGTCAGATTAAACAGGGTTATCAATTCGACCAATATGCTATACTCCACAGGGTGTCAGATATAACAGGTTTATTATACCAATATAGGGACGTCAGATTAGAGAGTGTTATTAATTCGACCAATATGCTGTACTCCACAGGGGTCAGATTAGACAGGTTTATTATACAAAAATATAGACGTCTGATTAGACAAGGTTATCAATTCGACAAAAATACTGTGCCCCTTAGGGTGTCGGATTAGAGCGGGTCAATAATTCGACCGATATGATAGGGTGTCAGATTAGCCAGGTTAATTATACTAATATGGAGAAGTCAGGTTAAATAGGGTAATCAATTTAACAAATATGCTCTGCTCCAAAGGGTGTCAGATTAGACAGATTAAATATACAAATATGGACACGTCAGGTTAAACAGGGTTATGAATTTGACAAATATGCTTTGTTCCACAGAATGTCAGATTAAACAGGTTAAGCTAACGGACATCATTTTTCTCAAAAAGAGTATATATAGAACATTATAATGATATAACCGCTAAGTGTTTGTTTAGACAGGTGTATACGACACTCATAATGTGTAATCAGGTTATGTTCCATAGATTGTCAGATTAGACATATTTATGAATAATCTGATAAATATGATATGCCCGAAATGGTGGAAGACAAAACCAGTAATAATTCTTCATAATGTGTCGGATTAGACGGGTCCATTCTATCAATATTCCGTATCTGTCAGGGTATCGAATTGGACAGGTTAATTTTATAGAAATGCTTTCTCCTTTCTCAATATGACCAATATGTTATGTCCAAAAGGTGTCGGATTAGTCAAGTGAACGTAGGTTGTGATCCACAGGGAGTCAGATTCGACAAACTTGCGTGACTTTTATGCTGAATCTTTAAGAATGTCGGGTTAGACAGGTTTATTTGACCAATACTTTTTATCCAATAAGACTTAAGTCTGACTAATAGCTTTAAGTCATTATAATGTTGCATAAAACAGGTTTTTCTAACCATTTTGTTGTTTTCCATAGGCTGTCGGATAAGGCGGTTATTCATCTTCTTTTATTTTAACAGATCATTTTGACCAAAATGTTGTGTTACTTAAGTTGTCGTATAAGACAGGTTAATATATTGTATTCCACGGGTTTTCAGATTAGACAGGTGAATCCAACCAATAACTTATGTCCAGACGGTTTCGAGTTTGACGCGGTTCTCGGTATGAAAATGTTATTTAAAGATATAGGACTTGAATTGAAGCGAGATATTTAAACTTGTTTTCATTTCACCGTCAAAACATCAACATTTTGGTCAGATATACTAGTTTGAAGCGATAAGATAGTTACAGATCATAGTTCCAATAGCTGCTGTATAAAAGAGCAACTTATTTTTCAAATCTAAGAAACAACAATGGCGTCCATAAATGTCGTCTGCAAGTGACGTAATGCATATATCATGTGACTAAAGTCAATAAAATATTCTGTAATTGAATAATAACTCTTAGACTTATATTTATATAAATAGTGTATTGTTTTATTTTTCAATGTGGATTTACAAAATTTACATCTATACACATAAGACAAGTCTTAACAGCACTTTGGTAGCACGTCACACGTGCATACAAATTCATGCGCGCACACTAACATACGTTTGAGACGAATCAGCACTCACACGCATACATACCTAATTCCATTTAAGTAACTTCCAACGAATTTGCATAACATATGTTATGCTGCAATAACCAATAACAAAGGGCATAACAAGACAAGAACGAATCCTAACAACCAATGGAATGTATTTGTATGTTCAAGGTCAAAGGTCTCCGACCTTCACGACCAATTAAAACGCTAGCTACAACCTCAAATCGAGGGTTGCCAAATGACATTGGCAAATGACATTGGCATGGTGATAAATATGTTTATATGTTATAAGTACGTGTTATTAAGATATTTACATGTGTACAAAATCTGCGAACAGATCATCAGTGTTTGTCCTGGATAATAAATGTTTGTCCCGGATCTAAAATGTGTTCCCAAATCATAGAATATGACCTAGATATGTGCAAATATTATACATTTGTACCGGATCCCATGTTTTGGAAATGTTACAGTTATTTTTATATATAAAAAACCTACTAAAAGTTATATGAACAGATGTATGCATCATTCTATATTTTGATAAGCAACAAAATAACTTCGCCGATATGTCATGAAAATAAACAGTTTTGCCAATACTGCTTCGAGGTTGCGTTTACTTTACAAACATACCAGCTAGGATATTTAAAAAAAATCAATCAGGTATGTTAACTGAACTCATAAACACAGAAAAAGAAAGAAAAGGCAGAATTTTCATAAATTAAAAATTCCCAAAGACTTTTGTATTGTTAAGTTGACAAAGCTTTAAATATCGGGTCCACGCGTGATTGTGTCCGAGATTATAATCTTCTTGCTACTTCCGGCTATTACAGAACACATTGTCATGCTCTTAAGTGGCCGACTGGTTCAAGTATCTGAATGACTGTGATTTCTAGCGAAAGCTTCAGTAGAAGCCAACGATGATGTGAACCGATTCACGCCTTTACATGTTGTGGTTTATATATCGCTATAGTTAATTCGTGAATACGTCGAATTACTCAGGTTCGCGCAAGACTCGAGGACCAGACGATGCAGTAAGATGATGACAAACAAGTATTTTTTTAAGTGGATGATGTCCCTTACAGGGAAACAGTTCTAAAATTATCATATTAACATTTCTTCACATTTCTTATGCAAGATGTGACATTGAGCTTAAACTTAAAGCACATTTTCCTGAAATTGGAAATTTCAGCAGAAAGTTGGTCAACCAATCTCAGAACACTTCACTATTTGGTGTCAAAAATAACTATACTAACAAGCTTCCAGATAAAATAATTGAGAATGTCAGATGTACTTAAACTTATTTTTTTCTAATAATTCAAAAGCGATCTAAGTATTTAAAAATTGGCGTTTGACATTGTTAATATAAAATTTAAGTATATTAGTTTCTGCAAATAGGCAGGAAAAATGGGTTATCTTTAGTTGTATTACCTACAAAACAAAAGCTGTTGTTGCGTCACAACTTATTCTGTGCCTTTACACAAAAAGTTATTACGTATATAGCACACATTTGTAATGACTATAGCCTTGACTTTTATGACACAGAAGAATATTAATATATATCGGCAAGATTAAATGGATTTAGTAATTAAGGAGTAAAGATATCCTGGGTTTAACGAGGTGTATGTGTGTTAGATATTTTGGACACATGTATATTGATCTCAATCAATTAATGAACCAATTTTATATAACAGAAACTGCAATATGGCCGGGACAAAGACACATCACTATGATAAATATGTTCACTGACAAACAAAATCACACACACCACATATCAAGTATTTCAACTTCCGGTTCACTGCGCATACAATCAAGCAACTTCCGACTCCTGCTAGTTGTAGCTTATGAATATTCATCATTGTCATTTCCGAGCAAGCCCACTAGATTTTCACCCGCTCTCTGGAACTTTCGTTGTCTATGAGACTGGAATGCGTTATGGCACCGACGATCACGGAAACAGATATTTATCCTCAAAGAGGTCATTCTTTCACATATTCACATGGAAATGTTGGCATCACGTCTGCAAAAACAGAATCAAATACTTAAATAAAAACATGAGACAATAAGAAATGTATAACAACTGAAAAAAACACACAAAAAAAACAGCCGAGGTTGTTATCATTCATTTGGTCATCACTTCCACAATAGTGAAATGGCCTCTGATTATCCACGATTTATACAGTAAACACAAGTCCACTGGTTCGTATTGTTTAGTAAAAGTGGACCACTGAACCAGGTATAATCGCGAAAGAAGAGTTCCACTCGGAGATTCGTTTGTGGACTTTGAGTAATCTCCCTTATGTAGAGAAGATGAAGCTACCTAAAGTGCATGTGTTAGGGGTCGGAGTAACTTCCAAATAATGTATCTTTCAATTTTAGCTTTATTTTCATGGACGTTGCAGTCAATAAATTGGACTAATACATCAATGTATCTGTTCATGTGCAGATTCCATCATTCGACGTACGGTCAGACAAAAACGTGACAACATTTTTGTAAGCTTTTTAAAGCTCCATATTTATAATAAGATCACTGAACGTATACCTAGAGCAACTTACCTCGTGAGTTGTCTTGTGTACAGCCAACGTCCTAGCCTGACAGAAACCTTTTCCACACTGACCGCATTTAAAGGGTTTGTCCTTTGAGTGGATGTATCTATGGAGAGACAGACGTTATATTTATAGAAGGACGAATAGACGGATGATGTAATAGCATTTATGAGGATAATGTGTAGATATTATAACAACATACACGAATATGGGCACAGAGAGAGAATGCTGACTAAAAGGGACGAACAGACGAATAGTATGCTAAAATACTTGAGGACGAACAGACAGATAAAATGGTAAAATAATTGAGGACGAACAGACGGATATAACGGCAACATACTTGAGGACGCACAGACAGATAAAATGGGAACATACTTGAGGACAAACAGACGGACAGATTAGTATAACATAATAAGGACGAACAGACGAAATAAATGGAACATACTTGAGGAAGAACAGACGAATAATATAAGATTAATGAGAGGAATAGACGGACAGTATAGTAGAAGAGTATGACAACATACTTGAGGACGAACAGACGGATATAATGGAAATATATTTGAGGACGAACAGACGGATATAATGGCAACATACTTGAGGACGCACAGACAGATAATATGGTAACATACTTGAAGACGAGCAAGCGGATAGTATGGTAACATAAATGAGGACGAACAGACGGATTATGTGGAAACAATGTTGATCGTGTTTTAACATAAATGGGGACAAACAGACAGACAATGTTTGACATAAATGATTGAGTTTCATTTCAACAGGATGCATTACATAATTTAGTATATAATCGGGTTAGACAAAGTATATATAAAGGTCTTTTCTTCAGATTTATATATGCTTAAGTACACTGTTTGGCATATGTGGAAGAGGTTGATTGTTACATTTCCATATGATAAAACTTTGCTTCAGAAAATCTCCATTTTTTCTATAGAGCCTGTCGATATACAAAAACACAAATCATTACGAATGACAATATTTTTGTGAACAGGAATCATGCATGAAAAAGATTCTGTCATCAATTAAGTTATACAAATTGGATCAGCGTTATTACCTGTGGTCTCTGAGATGGTCCTGTCGTCTGAAAGCCTTTCCGCAGATGTCACAAGGAAATGGTCGTTCGTCCGTGTGCGTCCGTTCGTGTATGAGGAGATTGTAGGACTTGGTGAACTGACGACAGCAGAACTTACATATGTATTCTTTCTTGGCCCTGAGGAAGAAGGCAACAGGTGCTCGTTATTTACAATAAACTGATCGACAATTGATACACATTGTAATCTGATTAGGATTGTATTACCAGTGTATTACCAGTGGTACTTGTGTACCGCACAGTCTAACACTGCAGACCCATGCATCACGTTTATTAGCTGTTTAAGGACGTATGCTACCTAACTAGCATATGTACCTCCATTTCAAAAGAGTTCCACTCTATAAAATTTTAGTTTAAACTTTATTTTATTATCGGTATAACATTCCAGTAATACAAACATGATATACATATAGGATTCGAAAACAAGTACAAAATACTTGTGTTAATCCGTCTCCTTTTTTGTGAAACGGAGAATGGACGGCACTGACGAATATTATACATATAGATATAGGTAAGATATATGTATATAAAACATTTATAGACCTGTTCTATGAAAAGTAATGTTTAAGGTAAATTATTAGATATTTGTGCAGTCTATTTTAAGGACAGTTTCTTTAACTATTTATCTATTTGTTCATATTTTGAGATAAATAAGTATTCGTTATATAATTCTGTGTCGATTGTTAAAGTCTTCTCATTTTCGTTGCCTCTATATATATTGCATGTACGTGGGTCTTTGTGGTTTGAAATGTATGTCAGAGAGGAATTATCATAATAATGTGGACAATTAAGCGCGTGCTTTTCGTTACTCTAATTGCAAATTTAACGCAAATTTGGCTGTTGATAAAACGCTCGAATTAGCGAACCAAGATACTGCAGCTGTAGCGAGTATTTAGATATTTTACAAGAAACATTTGTTCCTTGTCCCCCCGACCGCCCGTAAGATTTTGACCTAGTTTACATTCAGTTTTATTTTTCTATAAACTCCGTCAAATTCTGCGTAAATATATAAAAAATAAAAAGTTCAAAAACGTACCTATAGACCTTTATGTTTTTAACATTCAACAGAGAAACAAACAAGTTTTCTGGCTAAAGTGTTGTTAGTCGTTAATTGCTGGTATGGGCAGAGAAATCAAATCAATTATTTGTAAAATACCGATGCCCGACACTAAAAAAATAGCACTGAAATGGATACTTTGTTTCAGTGTTAGAGTCATTACTAAGTCCTGATATACCGATAATTATAACTAATTTTATCGAAGAACCGCAGTCTGGTCAATTGAAATTTATAACAACATATGTTTGCTTAATTATTTCATTACCGTTACATTAAGTAATAATACCAAAATAATCTGTCGTTTTTTTTAAGTCAATTGAACTGAGGAGAGCAGGGCCGTTTTCGTTTATCGCGATCAAGTCGGTTGAACTGGTTGGATCAGCGTTGTTCGTTTATGAAATAAGGTCGGACCTAGAAATCTGATGCTGTTTTCAGACAAGCCTTGACACAGCCTTACAAGGCCTGCAGGTCCGCCATGATTTATGCTCGACATTGTTACATTTAAAAACGAACAGGTCCCTGGATATATAGTCTGTACCCTAACGGGTCAAGTTCAGTGCTGAACTAATTAATTATTTGATTATAGTGTTGGCAATTCAATCCTTGTAATGTGTGGGTGAAGATTTCAAAACAGTCGTTACACACGGTCAAAATCTGAGAATTTTTCCCTTTACAACGTTTTGAAAAATATGTCTTCTACCTTTAAACCCAGTTTTTATGCCAGTCGAAATATGCGGAAACTGGGTTATTCTGTTCAGCTTTATATTTACAACTTCTTTTATGATATTTTATAATCCAAATTATTAATAGTTTTTAATGCAAACATGTAACATGATAAGCCATTGTTAGTTAACATGCTCCAAATTAATAGGAATTTTCTTTTCCTTTTAATACCAATTTATTAAAAAATGGTGTCAAATAATAAAATATTACCTCTTTGGTCGCCTCCCTCGCCCTCGTTCTGGAGTTTGTGTTATGGTCTTGGTGACGGGGCCGTACCAAGATGGGTAACTCGGCTTGTACCTAAAAATGGTAAACAACGTTTTATTAACTCATTCAAACCCTGCAAACACATTTGAACTCGTCCAATTCAAAGGTTGGAAAAAATGATTATGTAAATTTAGGGGTGAATCACTTTAACAATACAATCTAACTGATCGTGTTATAGATATCAATTAGTTGAAGCTTTGAGTCTGTCCATCCTCATATATATATAGATATCTTATGACTCATACATGGTTGTGAGATCTATAAAGATTAATATCTATAAATATTTATTTATTTTCAAGTATATAGACAGGTCTTGCTTTAACAAACATTATAAGCGTTTCGCAGTAAATCGCTTGAATCAATCCGGATTATTTTTAAGAAAATAACAAGATTTTGTTTTATTTAAATTAACGACATAATTCATTTACTTAATATCATCATAATTCAAATTAATGAAAACTAAATTAGCAAAAAAGTAAGAAAATATTATATGTTTAAACAAAAATGATTTTAATCCATAAAAGGAAAAAAACATTTCAATATTTTGTAAAAATTATGTTATTGAATTTTAGAAAAAAAATAACTACATTTTTTTTAATCTAATGTTAAATAAAATTTTAAAATGTTAATAAATACCATACATCTACAGCATTATAATGTGCCTTTCTTGGTAGTACAGTAGTACATTTACATGTTTTGCCCTTAAGAAATTCGTCATTCTTTGGTTTATAAAATATCTAATCCTATCTTATTCTTCTAGTTTAATCAATAACGCTATCTCAAGTAAAAACAAAAGATTTAATAAAGTGAAAGAAGTAAGATTATTTTGATATTATCAATTTTTAAGGGGGTTGAAATTCTTTGGTCGAGAAGTGCGTAAAGCTCCGCCCCTCAGACGCTGCGTTCGTACAATACGGTAAACTGTCTAAGTGGCTCAAAACCACTTCCCTCACAGTATGAATATTTAATAGGCCGTGTAGAAATAGGGGAAGTCACTCTACTTAAATATTAAGTCAAAGTTTAAAATATAAATACGATTGTTTTTCTCCTTTTCAGCAAACTAAAACAAACTTCAATTCATGATTGTTCCGTCTTGTTTAGTAATTAATACTCTCAACAATGTGCAAAGAACATGTTATTAAATATAAGAATATGAAATATGGATGTTTTAATTAAGAGAATTTGCGGTAAAAACCAAAGATAGGCCTAAAAACGGTTTCTATTTTTTAACGGTATTCACTAGAAAAACCCCCCAGTCTGAACAAAATCAGCACAGAGTGATTTTCATTGCAGAACAATATATTTATTCAGCAAATAAATCATGTGAAGAAAAGCAAAATGACGTACCTGAAGATGTCGGAGGGGAAATAATGATCGATCACATGGCTAATTATGGGATCCTTATTAATAGATTTCGTCTCGAAATCTCTCTCCTTTTCGGGTTTACTGGTAGCAGACTCAGCCAAATGGGCAAAGTCAAATCGAGGCTTGGCTTCTGTCTTTTCTGGAAGGAAAAAAGTCTAAATTCAACAATAATATCCTTCAAATTCACAATAAAACTGAGAAAATCCTGCTGAGGAAAACAAATGGTTTCAGATGCAATTAAGATGATAAATTAACTGCATCAAAGGGAATGCGTTGGATTGGTTTTTTCCTTAAGAGCGTATATGGGAAACTCACAAGTGGTTTACTGAGAAAATAAACAATATGGTTAACATTTTAGGGCAAGTGCATATTCAGTAATTAGCATAATTTTGTGTCCAGTTGTAGCTATCCAGGAGTGCTTTCCTCGTCGTTTTCAGATAAAACAAGGGTTGGTGGGCTTGCTATGCCGAGATAAAGATATACCCCCTAACAAACGGCGATATCTCATTCAAATATTTCCTTTTAAAATTAAAATTCCTCTGAGTTGGCGTCCGTTTGCGCTTATCTTTTTCCGAAATTCGCCCAGAAACTTGACCCACTCTTCATTGTGGTTATAATGTTTTCATTGTTATCCCCACAAAAGATGAGGCCCCCCACGGATAAAAACAATGCACGGAAATATGTCTTTCAATTGTGTTAACATTTAACCAAAAATACCGTATAATTTCATATTTACAAGACATGCATTATGTCGTAAAAAGGTGACAAACTGCGTATAAATCAATGCAAAATTTCACTCCTGACAGCTTTTTTTAAGTTGTTATTTACTGATTGTTTTGCCACGTTGTGAGCCCCACTGGTTAGCTAGCGGTAGGGATGATTTCATTATTAAACGGATATATAGTCAGAATACTTAATATTAGGAAGCTCACAATTTGACTACCACAGATCTATTCACGAGGCATCTACCGGAGAAATATTGTCAAACCACAAGATATCAAAATATATCAGCAGCATTCTTTACAATGAACACCATTTCTGTGCTGTTGTCATTGTATACATTTTAACACGTTTGAAATCTGTTGTTTGTAAGTTTTTAATTACTTTAAAGTATAAAATCGATAAATTGATGATATAAACTAACTTTTCGCATGTGAACGAATATTTTTGTTTTGGTATTATAATTATAAAAAGTGTACGCCGAGAACAGGGAACTTATTTTCTGGTTGGTTGTAAAAACTCCATATCTCAAAGAAGCATCTATTTATCCTAAAAAATATCATAGTTTATTTAATACATTGATTGTATGACAAATGTAATGTAATTGTCGTATTCTGAATCCATACATACAGATTAATTAAGCTTTAATAATCCTGGAGTAACAGGGTTCTTTCTGATTCAAAACAATGGAATATGTTTAGCTTTCTTATATAGCAATTTCTGTTAATACGTCTGTCAAACTAAACTCCGTATCACCTGTGATGTAAAATACATGTCTCGTACAATAACTCGAAAATGCTAGGAAAACTGGACCATTGTGTTGTGATACAATGATGCAAGACCTTCTCATTTCTTCTGGTACTTTTTTGTAAATTTCTAATGAAAACAAATATTTGCGCAATGTTGAGTGTTAGAATACTGGAAATGCACTGTCATAGATATTAAATATTATGTGAACTGAATAATGGAATGAATTAGAAATTGATATTGATGCAAACTCAAAAAGATGATTTAAGGAATATTTCTTGTATCGTGCATAAATATACATATACATGACCTATTATAATAACAAATACGGGCAGTACAATATAATAACAAATACGGGCAGTACAATATAATAACAAATACGGGCAGTACAATATAATAACAAATACGGGCAGTACAATATAATAACAAATACGGGCAGTACAATATAATAACAAATACGGGCAGTACAATATAATAACAAATACGGGCAGTACAATATAATAACAAATACGGGCAGTACAATATAATAACAAATACGGGCAGTACAATATAATAACAAATACGGGCAGTACAATATAATAACAAATACGGGCAGTACAATATAATAACAAATACGGGCAGTACAATATAATAACAAATACGGGCAGTACAATATAATAACAAATACGGGCAGTACAATATAATAACAAATACGGGCAGTACAATATAATAACAAATACGGGCAGTACAATATAATAACAAATACGGGCAGTACAATATAATAACAAATACGGGCAGTACAATATAATAACAAATACGGGCAGTACAATATAATAACAAATACGGGCAGTACAATATAATAACAAATACGGGCAGTACAATATAATAACAAATACGGGCAGTACAATATAATAACAAATACGGGCAGTACAATATAATAACAAATACGGGCAGTACAATATAATAACAAATACGGGCAGTACAATATAATAACAAATACGGGTACAATATAATAACAAATACGGGCAGTATAATATAAAAACAAATACGGGCAGTACAATATAATAACAAATACGGACAGAACAATATAATAAAGAATACGGGCAGTACAATATATAACAAATACGGGCAGTATAATATAAAAACAAATACGGGCAGTATTATATAATAACAAATACGGGAAGCACAATATAATAACATATACGGGCAGTATAATATAAAAACAAATACGGGCAGTAATATATAATAACAAATACGGGTAGTACAATATAATAACAAATACGGGCAGTATAATATAATAAAAAAATACGGGCAGTACAATATAATCACAAATACGGGCAGTACAATATAATAACAAATACGGACAGCACAATATAATAACAAATACGGGCAGTACAATATAATAACAAATACGGGCTGTATAATATATTAACAAATACGGGCAGTACAATATAATAACAAATACGGGCAGTACAATATAATAACAAATACGTTATACACGACACCTGATCTTATACCTTATACACGTCACCTCATCTTATATTATATCACGTGACCTGACCTTACACGTTATTCACTTCACCTGCTCTTACACGATATACACGTCACCTGATGTTATGCCTTATACACGTCACCTCATCTTATATTATATCACGTGACCTGATCTTACACGTTAAACACGTCACCTGATCGTAAAAATAATACACTTCATCTAATCTTACACGATATACACGTCACCTGATCTTACACGTTATACACTTCATCTAATCTTACACGATATACACGTCACCTGATCTTACACGTTATACACTTCATCTAATCTTACACGATATACACATCACCTGATCTTATACGTTATACACTTCATCTAATCTTACACGATATACACATCACCTGATCTTATACGTTATACACTTCATCTAATCTTACACGATATACACATCACCTGATCTTATACGTTATACACTTCATCTAATCTTACACGATATACACATCACCTGATCTTATACGTTATACACTTCATCTAATCTTACACGATATACACATCACCTGATCTTATACGTTATACACTTCATCTAATCTTACACGATATACACATCACCTGATCTTATACGTTATACACTTCATCTAATCTTACACGATATACACATCACCTGATCTTATACGTTATACACTTCATCTAATCTTACACGATATACACATCACCTGATCTTATACGTTATACACTTCATCTAATCTTACACGATATACACATCACCTGATCTTATACGTTATACACTTCATCTAATCTTACACGATATACACATCACCTGATCTTATACGTTATACACTTCATCTAATCTTACACGATATACACATCACCTGATCTTATACGTTATACACTTCATCTAATCTTACACGATATACACATCACCTGATCTTATACGTTATACACTTCATCTAATCTTACACGATATACACATCACCTGATCTTATACGTTATACACTTCATCTAATCTTACACGATATACACATCACCTGATCTTATACGTTATACACTTCATCTAATCTTACACGATATACACATCACCTGATCTTATACGTTATACACTTCATCTAATCTTACACGATATACACATCACCTGATCTTATACGTTATACACTTCATCTAATCTTACACGATATACACATCACCTGATCTTATACGTTATACACTTCATCTAATCTTACACGATATACACATCACCTGATCTTATACGTTATACACTTCATCTAATCTTACACGATATACACATCACCTGATCTTATACGTTATACACTTCATCTAATCTTACACGATATACACATCACCTGATCTTATACGTTATACACTTCATCTAATCTTACACGATATACACATCACCTGATCTTATACGTTATACACTTCATCTAATCTTACACGATATACACATCACCTGATCTTATACGTTATACACTTCATCTAATCTTACACGATATACACATCACCTGATCTTATACGTTATACACTTCATCTAATCTTACACGATATACACATCACCTGATCTTATACGTTATACACTTCATCTAATCTTACACGATATACACATCACCTGATCTTATACGTTATACACTTCATCTAATCTTACACGATATACACATCACCTGATCTTATACGTTATACACTTCATCTAATCTTACACGATATACACATCACCTGATCTTATACGTTATACACTTCATCTAATCTTACACGATATACACATCACCTGATCTTATACGTTATACACTTCATCTAATCTTACACGATATACACATCACCTGATCTTATACGTTATACACTTCATCTAATCTTACACGATATACACATCACCTGATCTTATACGTTATACACTTCATCTAATCTTACACGATATACACATCACCTGATCTTATACGTTATACACTTCATCTAATCTTACACGATATACACATCACCTGATCTTATACGTTATACACTTCATCTAATCTTACACGATATACACATCACCTGATCTTATACGTTATACACTTCATCTAATCTTACACGATATACACATCACCTGATCTTATACGTTATACACTTCATCTAATCTTACACGATATACACATCACCTGATCTTATACGTTATACACTTCATCTAATCTTACACGATATACACATCACCTGATCTTATACGTTATACACTTCATCTAATCTTACACGATATACACATCACCTGATCTTATACGTTATACACTGCATCTAATCTTAAACGATAAACACGCCACCTGATCTTACACGTTATACACTTCATCTAATCTTACACGATAAACACATCACCTTATCTTACACGTTATACACTTCATCTAATCTTATACGATATACACATCACCTGATCTTATACGTTATACACTTCATCTAATCTTACAAGATATACACATCACCTGATCTTACACGATATACACGTCATCTAATCCTACACGATAAACACATCACCTGATCTTATACGTTATACACGTCACCTGATCTTACACGTTATACACGACACCTAATGTTAAATGTTGTATACGTCATCTGATCTTACACGTTATACACTACATCTAATCTTACAAGATATACACATCCCCTGATCTTACACGATATTTACCTCACCTGATATTACACGTTATACAAGTCAGCTGATCGCACCCGATCTACCCGTAAGCTGATCTTACACGATATTTACCTCACCTGATATTACACGTTATACAAGTCAGCTGATCGCACCCGATCTACCCGTAAGCTGATCTTACACGATATTTACCTGACCTGATCTTACACGTTATACAAGTCAGCTGATCGTACACGATATACACGTCACCTGATCTTACAAGATATACACATCCCCTGATCTTACACGATATTTACCTCACCTGATATTACACGTTATACAAGTCAGCTGATCGTACACGTTATACACGTCACCTAATCTTACACGTTATACACGTCACCGGATCTTACACGATATGCACGTCACCTGATCTTACACGTAAAACACGTCACCTGATCTTACACATAAACATGTCACGTGATCTTACACGTTATACACGTCACCGGATCTTACACGATATGCACGTCACCTGATCTTACACGTAATAGACGTCACCTGATCGTACACGTAATACACGTCACCTGATCTTACAAGATATACACATCCCCTGATCTTACACGATATTTACCTCACCTGATCTTACACGTTATACACTACATCTAATCTTACAAGATATACACGCCACCTGATCTTACACGTTATACAAGTCAGCTGATCGTACACGATATAAACGTCACCTGATCTTACACGTGACACACGTCACCTGATCTTACCCGTAATACACGTCACCTGATCTTACAAGATATACACATCCCCTGATCTTACACGATATTTACCTCACCTGATCTTACACGTTATACACGTCACCGGATCTTACACGATATACACGTCACCTGATCTTACACGTAACACACGTCACCTGATCTTACACGTAATACACGTCACCTGATCTTACACATAAACATGTCACGTGATCTTACACGTTATACACGACACCTAATGTTAAATGTTGTATACGTCATCTGATCTTACACGTTATACACGACACCTAATGTTAAATGTTGTATACGTCATCTGATCTTACACGTTATACACGACACCTAATGTTAAATGTTATACACGAAATGTTATCTTAACATTTGACAACGTCTTGGCTTACAGTCATGGAAACAGCTCGAATGCTCAAATTCAGATGCTGTGCTCGTGTCAGATTTCTTGTATTGGTGATGAAATGATACAAACTCTCATTTAGTCATTAACTTTGTTAAATTTTGTAGAGGCTTAAAAATGTATCCGGTTCTCAATATTTTTAACTTAACCTTTTGATCGTGTCACATGACATGAAGTTCATTTGCTGTGCAAAAATCCATGCTTGAGCATGAGAACGGCTTGATGAATACAGATCCATCTCTTACACAATTTACACAATAAATAATCTTACACGTTTCAATCAAGACGAAAGCGATTTGGTTACAAATATATGACGCCTTTATATATATAGTTTACCAATTAAAAGAAATTCTACACATTTTTTTTGTAGAAAAACACGTCTTAAATAAACCACATTATGTGTAGGGGATGACTATATTTAACGTGAGACGGACTACATCAATGAAGTAGAGGTGTGTGTAATGGCGTCAGAGGGTGGTAGCGCGTACGGGTAATTTTACTGATATTACAACAAGTTCGTTCCGGCGCTTGCATCCTTTCGGAAAATGATCTATGTTGTGGTAACTGATAGAACGGAAGTACTAAGTACTGAGATCATCGCCTCCAGCCGAACAGATGCTCTGATCGGCAAGATAATTCACAATCTATAGCCTCTTATTGATATAGAGAGTCACCTATTACCGTGTATCATATCTTGTAAGAGTGAGTTCTAAGTATAAATTCTAATAAAGATACCCCCACACTTGTCTAAGTAAAATGTACACCAGCCGTCATCGGTGACCGAGAAATAAAGTTATGCCGTAAAAATGACTTATAATATTGTTTAATGGCTTCCGTTAATTAGGAAGGTGACTTATCAAACAATATTGCACCAAAACGAAATAATTTTTCATTATTTACAAAATATATGAACTTTCCGATTTACAACAACATTAAAGTGTAGATAAATGTATCTAATATCTAAGCTTGATTCCTTATCCTTTTTTAAAATGTATCAAATTACGGCAATATTGAATAAAATAAATATAAAAATGTAAAAAATTATAAGATAAAAAGTTTTTAACATATTAAATTTCATCCAAGAATTATAATTTTATATTACGACAATATTGAATAAAATAATTAAAAAGGTAAAACAATTATGAAATAAAAAGTTTTTCAACATATTTTATTTGATCCAAGCATTTTAATTTTATTTCTATCATAACTATATTATTATGGGGTATTCAGATAAGAAATAACACTAAAAACAGTAATGTAATGGTCAAGGCCAGCCCCAGGTGACCACAATCAATATTATATATGGTTATACATGTGTGTCAATCATTGTAATTGTTTTCCGGGTTAGGAAGTATACTGATTCTAAGTTCAGATAGCATTTAGAAACGATACACTAGAATTGTCCGTATTTATAATTTTGTGTTTTTGTTGTTTGTCATAAAATAGAATGTTTAAATTTGCTGTCGGGATTCTAATAACATATGAGTTCGATTGTATGTTATTTTATTTAATATCTTTCACTTTTGAATTTCGCAGTTCAACTCCTTCAATCTTTTTGATCAATTGTAACTGATGACAGTTTACATGAAACAACAAAAATAACGACATATCGATGACAATATTACTGCCGAATTAGATGAGATCTGCGTTTAGAGACCAATGGGATTGTAACAGACAAAACAGCAGCCGGATTGTCGGAGTCTACTACGTTAAAAAAAGTCGTGTCGGGAATTTTGGTTTAAATATTATTTCAGGGAAACGCTCCTCTTTCTTAATATAACATGCACAGGGGACAGACACATTCATGGGTAGCAGTATATTCATAAATATACCAATATAGTATGTTATCTTGTCCATTGTCTTTTAATTAATGTCTCTGGTCCCTGTTCTACCCGATGTTAGGACACCGGCACTAAAACGTTTCGGCACTTCTCACCTAAGATATTCGGCACTTCTCAACTAAGACGTTTCAGTAATTGTCAATGACATATTTTAAATTATGTGAATCCATCACTTCGTTTGGTTAACTGAATCGAAATCATAGGTGTTGTACCGAAATGTCTTAAATACTGCCAAACGTCCTGGCACCGAAACATCACGGTAGTTTCGTATTTCGACAAGAGTGATATTTCGACATACCTGCTTTAATCCTCTTCGGCGATTCCTCCTCAGATCCGGAGGAAAATGAGCGGTCCTCCTGCCTGAGTGACAGGTCCAGCCCCTGTGTTGGGTAGTTGGCACCCAGGTATCCATGGTAAGGACTGGCCTGCTGCGCCTGGAAACAGAGGGCTCTGTAGGTCGACCACTGGTCCCACCGGAGGGGCATCACGATCCGGGGGTCGAGGGGGTGGGTCATGTGACAGAGAGAAAGTTGTAATTCAGAGGAAGACACCATCGTCCGCGGAAGAGAGTAAGGGCTCAATGTGGCTATCTTCGCCATGATTATTCTAAAATAAAAAACAAACAAAAATCTGAATTTTCACGGTCAGAAAAAAGCCTTATATATACTTGAATGACACAAATTAATTCCATTATATTTTCCTGTTATATTGAACAATATTTAATTCAGGAACTAGTTCATTCAAGTTTAAAACTATTTACTGCCCATTCTTTGTGCAGCGGATTAGTCACGGACTTATCATACCCTTCTCCTCGCATACAAATACATGTAATAACAATTATGCAATTCACAGAAATGACGTACATAAAAATGGCAAATATGAGTTTCTATTTTATAGAGCCGTTCAAAACCTTTTACTGAGCCTAACGATACGTTGTGCATGTCTTAAGAGTTCAGTGTTTGTTCCAATCAACAGGTTTTCATTTCCATTGAGAAAAAAAGTTTAAATATTTTTCATATATCAAATATATGTTCTTGTATACTGTAAATATTTATCAGCGTTATGAACTTATATATTCAGCTACTGTATTTTAAACAATTGTATTACACTTGCCATTGGTAGCATTATCTAACTTAAATACTAAAATATCACAAGATACATACAGAAATTAAAACTCTTTATTTAACGTTCATGTATATATGAACGCAACTCTATTACTTTCATATTCAATGAAGCCCACTGTACGTTATATAATCATGTTCAATGAAAACTAGTTTACAGAGAACAAAATCACAGACAACAAACGTAGTTGATATATATTGTTGGTCTGAACACAATGCATGGTTTTAGAATAGTTGGAATATTGACAACCACATTCAAACCATAAACGAGCGATTCGATGATAGTTCAAGTGAAATAAACACATCGAACTTAGTCTTACTATGAAATGATACATGTACTTACGACTTGAGCACATCTGACAATTCCAATAGCTTTCAACGAAATGTTGAAAATGCATTGCAGTGTGGAAAAACACTCTTAATTAATTCGGTTTAACATAATAAGTACACTCTTGTAAAATTTCTCTGAATCGGTTTCAAAATAAATGATACTGATTTTTATCTTTGAAATCTAAGGGTTACACTCCAGATGTCATATTCTCAAAGCGTAATCCTTGTATTTCGAATAAGACTGATTGTAAAAGTCCGACTCTTCGCTCTTTTATAGCTCATCGACGGGACTTAAGGCTAAAAAAATGAAAATACAAATCTGAAGTAGGTCGAAGCATAAGCAGAAATATATCTTGAAACGGAAAAGGTGCCTTATAAAGCCCTTTAAAACGTTATTTATTTAAAACTTTCCGCTATAACATATGATCTATTTTTAAAATGGTCATAATTCTACCTAAACCTAAGGTTTCGGTCAAATTCGAGGGCCGATAGTCCACCCACAGAGTCAACAGCCTTTAATTATAACGTAAAATAATCACTTAAAATATGAATTAAGGAAGAACTTATTTTTAATAAATTAAGTAAGATGAAGTAGTTATCTGATCGAATTCAGTAAACAATGTTAGCGCCATACATAGATAAAGAAAAGTTAGTTTAGCATGATAAGATATTACAGTTTCGTTCCAGTAAAAATGTAAAAATGATAAAATTTCAAAATCTCGTTTTTGAAAAACATAGCGGTATTTTGCAGTAAAAATATCAAGTCAAAACAATATGTCAGTATCTTCTGGTTAATTGATATAAAATAAATATCCATTTCGAAACTCGAGAATGTTTGTCTAAGTTCATACATAGAGTTAAGATACAATGGTTCTACAGCCAGAGCCGTAGCTGAAGGGATTACAACAATTATTCCTCCTTGAAGGAATTATTTGACTTAGCGTCGATTATTTACGAGCTTAAATATCAGAAAGTATTTTTCAATTCAAATTACACGCATACATAGCATGCTATAACGTATGCAAGATTTATAGTTTCCTGTTAAAGACGAATCTTTTTTTAGTATTTGCTATAGCAGCTTATATTTTGTAAACTGTTACATTTTCAGCCATTTTTATACGGTTATATGACAGTACTCAACATAGCGTGACACAATTTGATACCGCTAGATCTCTGCATTTTGTGATATTTTTAAATTAAAGATTAACTGCAGATACATTTTATGACAAAGTCATGAATTTCGTTAATGCTTATCTAAAACTAGTTATTTATATACAATAGAGCGCAACCACCCTACTACCCACATTAGAAGATTTTAGATTTCCATACCACGATTTTTTACTAATATTTTTTTTATATAGAAAACGCTGATTTGGGTTCCTCAATTTATAACAGTTGTTTATATTATTAGTTAGTATTCGGATTTATGCTTTTATCTACCTTAATATGCAAAGTGATGATTTGAAATGTAAACAACAAATGTCGCAATGTCTATGTACATCAATTTGTCTCTTATGAGAAATATCTGCATTTTTTTAGAAAACATTTACACGATTAATTGTAGAATATTTTTGATATCAAAACAAATATTTTATTTTCCATTTTTGTAAATTAACATCAATTTTATATTAAACTGTTATTTATTTAAACCAGGTACATATGTTGAACTACTCTATACGTCTCTGTTTAAGCTCACCATATATCAAAATTGAGAATAACAACATCTTATTATACATGTATTTCGTAAAATGCATATACTCCATGTTTTTCCAATACGATAGTAATAATTTTGTCATACACAACCAAATATACGTTCTCGATTTATTTAAATTAATTATATGGTAGTCAAGCTATTATATGGTGTAAAAAATACATTAAATTAAATTTTCATATATTTTAAATATGCAAAATATGGAGCTGGTAATTTCATCTGAAAAATAATTATGGTATTAAAGAGAAAAAAAATCTAGTAAACGATTATCTTTCACAAGAAGTACAGAAATTGGGAATGTTTCCATTTGAAATCATACCTTATTGATATGATCAACAATTCAATCTATCTTAATTTTTATCTTTCCAATTGTAAAATTCAGAACAAACATTAAAATATTAAATCTACAATCACTCTTTTCGATTCTATTCCTGTTCTATTCGTGGTAAAATTTATAAGTTCCTAAATATTGTTGATCGATTAATTTGTTTGAATTTACGATAAAAGAGTTCTAAAATTAACTATCTTACATGGTAATAAAATCACGGGAAATCCTCATAAATTTGTTCATCACTGCCTGCATAAAGATGCCTATTTAAATATAATTAAGAAACCGCACCCGTTTAATTATTCCGTTCACGGTTATGGTATATATGAAGTCGAGTTGCCATTACAAATCTTGCTTAATAGAAAAGTAACAACAAAAGTGTTTACCTCCGTGTAGACAGTTAGTAAAATCCGATAGATGTTGTTAACTGTAACCGCTTACTACAGCCACGTATCAGCTTGTGTGGCAGAGTGGTCCACGCAATTACTTATAATGTATATTATATATACATCTTATTTCCTGGGCGGTCGGACAGATGAAAGGGCATTTCTGGTCGTAATAGAGAACAACAGTGTCATCCAACCTTACAGATCAACTTCCCTGTGCAGTATTGTTTTCTACTTATAGTGCGCTTTCTAACTAATCTTATTTGTCGATGATGTTGTTTGTTTTATGGGAGTGGATTAGGGTTATTTAGCTGTTATGTAAAGAGTGATGATACTGTATATGTACCGAGGTGTCACTACACCATCGGAGAACAAAGCTTCACGGAAAACAAAAAACAAATATTACCGATGCCGACACATTGATTAGGGCGTAAGAATGCTAAATAGTAAATACTAGTATCTAGTGTTAGCTTATGAAATATAAATGACTTGGTCAGCCGGCCTGACTGCGCACAAAGATAGGAGTTAATTAGTCAAATAGAATACTGACCTATTATATAAATGATTGCCAGCTTACAGGAGATCGTTAGAATTTATATGATGTAAAAAGTGAAGTCTGAAGTACAACTTTAAATCCTTGAATGTATTTTCATACATAATAATTCAACCATCACAAAATATCAATATAATTGTACAGTTTTATACATTGATATATGTCAAGTGACACATGCGATGGAGTAAGTATGTTAAACATGTATACACGCACATAGAACATATCAGTACTAAGTGTATTTTATATTACCCTTCCTTATTATTTGATTTCGATGTAAACTTATCTCAGTTTTTGAGGAAATAAACATAATTATGATGATGATGATGAGCCTACAGGAGATCGTATATGATGTAGAAAGTGTAGTCTGTAGGTACACATGCTAATGTTGTGCACTGCTAAAAACAAATGTTCGTCTCTCCGAATAATATGTAATAGACTATGGCAAATCGAAGTGCAATTATCGATGTCTCCCCCTTAAATCCATATAACCCCAATCCAAACCCCAGCATCAACCCCATCCCCACAATGTTTTTATTTGTATCAATCTGCCCTCAGTTTACTCCAGCCGAGTTTTTTTTACCTTAGATTTTAGTTATATCTATTATATTTCAATTTTGTTTTTTAAGTAATGTATAAGTCTTCTGTTTTTTTCTGTGCCTCGATGAAGGAGCGAATCGTTCCAAAACTTTAACAACGTCATATTGTCTACACTGTTAAAATTACTTCCTTGAATACTATATCAATATATTTAATATAAACTTTACTTCATTTTTTTTCATTAACAGTATGATGTAAAGCAACACACAATTGTTGAAATTGGATTTTGAAAGTTTTACAACTTATGTAGATCCATCTCCAGTGAAAGAAATACATATGACATTTGAGGACCACATTTTTATGACTATAATATTTGAGAACGAAATATGCAGTTGAGTTGAGTCGAGTATTTGAGAAAATACGGAAAATAGGGGAGGATAGGATAGGAAAGAGGGGAAAGAGAAATATATTGCACTCCTGATGTCCTTAGCTAAGTGCGTAACCCATGGTTTAGAAGATGAACAAAACGTTGTGTTTCATGTTCGTGGTCGCTTTTCAAAATCAAAGCATTTTTCTCTCAATGAAAACGATATGCGAAGCGAAGTCGGATGGAACATAACAAATCGACCATTCAGAAAATTTGTTCGGAGTGAAAATTTAACGTGATTGCGCCATTAGGCTATGTTAGAGGACGCAGATGTATAGCTGTTCACAGGAGTAATTACAATCCTTTCACGAGAGAGAGATATTATTGTGACATATTATATAGTTTAAGATTTTTGAAATATTGTATGGACTACATTTTATTGCAAAGGATATTATTGGTTTGCTGTGTTTGTGCTTAACATCCTATTAAGTGTAAGGACAAACAAAAGTTTGGTGCTAAACTGATGTGAAACAGAACTTGATTCACAGACATGGTTGCATCACACCTTACGTTTACTTTCTTTCTTTCTCTGAGATTCGTACCTAAGTTCTTCGTAAGAAATGCACGGAAAGTGTGCGAAGAAAACTGTTTCGTTGTTATGAATATAGCTTCCCAAATGTTAATGTTTAATTATAACGTGATGCGCCACCTGAACTAACTGGAACTTCATAGCAAAGCGATGCGATGTCAAGGGAGAGAACACAGACAAATTATCTTCCCTGAAAATATACCGAGGATGACAGATCCATACACCTAAGCTTAACCGTCCCATTCAGGAGAGGGGTCAAAAGAAAGAGAGAAAGCTTGGACAGATGCATACACCGTCCCAGATGTGTTGTTTGCAGTAAGGTGTTAGTAAAAATATTAAGCCCCGCGTCAGGTGTGATCAAGGTGGGAAGGTAATCTAATAAACGGACCAGACAGATCCGGATTACGTCATTGTCCACATAACGGGGAGGGGATTTAAACAGGTATCAAAGAGGTGCGAAATCAAGACCCAGGGTTTTTGTTTTCTTTATGTCAAACTTTATATCAAACTATGTGCTAGGGGGAAAATTCAGAACGAAACAAGAAAGGTGCGATTTTTATTCTCAATAAAATCCTTGAAATTGAGTAATTTGTAGCTGACGGAGCTGGCGTGTATTTGAGATGGTCTCTGATCATATGAAGCAATTAAAATAAATTCACTGGATGTCCAAATGTAGTTTAAGTTTCTGCTAAATCAATATTTGAGAACTTAAAAAAAATCTCATTGGAAAACCACAATTTCACACCCATGAACTATAGAGTGAGCTCCGATCGCTATTTGACGCATCAACAAGTCAATATTTTTAAACTACGAGAAAGTATATTATAATGTACCATACACAGTTGGTATAGCAATTACTCTTTGATGAACGTACACAAAACGAACAAAAAATGGAATAAATGTTTTACTTCACTTTCCGGCCAACTAATTTACCATTTGCCAATGGCACAAACAAACTGTGTTGTTTTTCCTGCTATGTGTCTAGCCTTACATATCTTTTTTAAAAGATGGAGAGAAAAACGCAGCTCTGAAAGTTATAAGAAAATGCAGATGGGAAAATATAAACAGCATAATGAAAAACATCGCTGAAATTCATTTGATAACATAACAAGAATGAAAACGATAGTTTTATATAGAAATAATTTTATAATCAAGAGGAAAAAAGAAGGGGAGGAGGAGGGGGGCATGAGGAATGCAGGAGGAGGAAAGGAGAAGAAAGGAGGAGGAAAGGAGAAGCATCAGCAGGAGGAAGCAGGAGGAGGTAAGGAGGAAGGCAGGAGGAGGAAAGGAGGAAAGCAGGAGAAGGTAAGGAGGAAGGCAGGAGGGGAAACAGCAGCAGGAGGAAGCAGGATGAGGTAAGGAAGAAAGGCAGGAGGAGGAAAGGAGGAAGGCAGGAGGAGAAACGGAGGAGAAGCAGCAGCCGGAGGAAGCAGGATGAGGTAAGGAGGAAGGCAGGAGGAGGTAAGGAGGAAGGCAAGAGGAGGTAAGGAGGAAGGCAGATGGAGGAAAGGAGGAAGGTAGGATGAGGAAAGGAGGAAGGCAGGAGGAGGTTAGGAGGAAGGCAGGAGGAGGAACGTAGGAGAAGCACCAGAAGGAGGAAGCAGGATGAGGAAAGGAGGAAAACCAGCAGCAGGAAGGGATCAATTAATTCCGTTTTCACACCATCTACGCATGTTGCAACTTTATTTCAAACAAAATCTTGGAAAATAAATATTTCTATTAAGGTTTTAATGATGAAAGAGAAAGTGACACCCCTCGTCACCTTCCTGGTATACTGTAGAAATGCACAATATGAAACTCAGTTACTGAAAACACTTAAACTTTATATCCCCAATATCAGATTACTCAGGCTGCAGTGATCGCTCTTCATTGCAGCCACTGGACCTTTTCTCGACCTATCATCTTTCAAATAGGATAAGTATTAGACGTACAAATGCATGTATTACTCCGGTAAAACCGCACGCGCAGATATACATTTTAGTACCGCGTTCAAGTGCCTGCTGCTTTTTAGTGTTTATTATATTTATCCACTACAACGCTGAAATGGCGACAGTTTACATACACTTGCCTAGTCATTTTATAAATATAGCTTAATCATATATATACTTATGTTGTTTTTTAATGTTTTCACATCGTCCCATTAATTTTGAACATGTCACGAGTGTAATATCAGTCAATGTGATGTCACATAGAACAAAACGATAACGGTATATTATAATGACTTTCAAATTTCATTCTCGTAAACGGAAATTTACAGTGTAAAAAAATAACAGAACTGGCGTTTTCCTCTCATATTTTAGCGACCATAAAATGTCACAATAAGTATAAATGAACATGCCTTGGTATGGTTACATTACATATGTGCATGATAAACATATTCTTAAACTCGTTTATTATTTATGGCTTATGAAACAATTGACATTATATCGAAATATAGAAGTAAAACGAAGACTAGGATGTGTATAACTTGACACGTATTAACACCCGATGAAGTCAATGCCTTATCAACCATAGAAAGATTATATTTCTCGAAGTCGGAGGCCGAGCGAATTTATATCTTTCCTAGGTTGATGAGTCATTGTAACGACTACAACCGAGGTTGACTATTGTTTTATTATATGAAACTTTACTTATATGATCAAGTATGAAAGACTCTGAGCCCAATCGGACATATGGACGTCTCTCTGGGGTGAAGAAATGAAAATATTCTCGCAAGAAGATGATGACAGCCTTAATAAGTTGAGCTGTAATCATTCAATTGGGAAAACAAGTTTTGGGTCCGTAATATTTTTCTTTTAGAAAGTTCTTTTAAACAATGAAGTAAAATCCCCGAAAAAAATAAAGAAAATGTATGTGTCTGTCTTAGTTATTTGTAACTACGGACTGACAGACTCGAGATTATTTCCTGTGAAAAGTCGTCTATTTGCATAATTAGAGCAATTGACACTGACCAACTACCATAATTGACCAGCGAGAACCACCATTTGTTCAAATGGTCAGTAGAGCGGTCAGTGAACACCTAGCTGTGACTGACCACGACACATAGGTGATACCTGGATGATTTTTACCTGTCACGATTTCCTTTGATCTTTACCGCTCCCTAGGGTAAGCGGATTCACTGATAATGCGGATTTTATAGTC